CCTATTTTCATGGTTGTGGCACAAGCTTCATGGTATGTTTCTAAGCCTTTGGCACCAAAGTTGAGATGGAGTTCCTGTGGAGTCCATAAAATTCATGCTGACTGAACTGCGCTTTTGCAGTTTCTCTGCTGCAAACAGGCTAAGCCATTCCGACAGCATGGCTTTCAGTGGATGTATTTTTCTTCAGCAAATTGCTATATTCTCCTGTAGTACTGTTGATGGAATGTATGTGCTTGATTTCTGGGCTCTTATTTCCTTTTTAGCTTGGTTCCTTTCAGTTTCATATAGATCGTTAGTACATTCCTGGAACTGATTCCCAAACCTGATGAAATGGAATGTTCTGCTTACTCTGTAAACTGCTCTTTGATTCATCTGTTACCTTGAGACAGAAGGCAAAATCTGCCTGTGTTTCCAGAGGAGTCTTTCATAAGAAAGGAGGAGGGAGGCATGTGTCACCGTTGTTAAGGGTTTCAGGGTTTAAGAAGACTCCCCAGCTTTCACTTTCTGTCGTTGGTATGAGGGCTGTTTTGGACAGCTAGAAGTTGGAATGTGGATGATTTGTAATTTGTATGAGATGTTGGAATTTTTGGGTTGCTTTTTACTCAGGGTGTGGTCAAACTCTAGAACAAGTTGCCCAGAGAGGCTGTGGAACCTCTGTCTTTGGAGGTGTTCAGGACTCTACTGGCGGAGTTTCTGTGGAAGCTCATTTCAGCCTTGCTGTGAGCAGGGGTTTATGCTAGAGGAGGACTCATATGCAAAGGTTCATTCCAACCTAAATTGTTCTGTGACTTAATATTTTTAAATTTTTACTGTCTCCGAGGATGGAGAATCCCCAGTCTCTCTAGGTAAGCTGTTTCTGTGCTTAGCCAACCACAGTGGTGAAGAATTTTTTTCCCGTGTGTCTAGCTGGAATTTCCTGTCTTCCAAATCATATCCATTATCTTTTGGTTTGGGTTTTGTGGGGTTTTTGTGGGGTTTTTTTGCTATATACTTCTGAACTTGCTCTGTCTCTAATATAACCCTTCTGCTGAGGACAGGAGTAAGATTTGTCTCCTCTCTTTTGAGTCTGAATAAACACCCTTCTGTCAACTTCTTCCTTGTATGCGACATGGTCCAAGCTTCTTGCTGTCGTAGCAGCACTTCTCTGTAAACACTGATATAAATCAGGAGAAATTCTGAATTGGTAACAAAAAATGCATGATTGCTATAGTTAGAAAATCTACTGGTCTAAATAAAATTTCTTTTTATTTCCTATAGCTTCTGCTGAGACTGTTGCCTGTTCTGATCTTCTCAGTGAGAGAAGTTTCAGTTGAAAGAGGCAGGAGGCACACATACCTTTCCTGACTCATCTGAGATGTTTCCATGAACTTGGAGGTCATGTGACCACATATTTGGTTGGAAACTTACAGTGATGGAGCAACAGCCATTTTTAAAAGTTGGGCTTTTTTTAAGATTAGAGGGAGCAGAACAGTCCAGCAAAGTATCAGTAAAAATACAAGCTTGGTGAATGAACTGGTCTTTTGTCAGTGATCTCCTCTTTCGATAGAGGCAAAGACACTGAAGTTATAGCTGCTGGCTTGTGTGAATGGAAATAACTGAGTGAAGGGAAGAATGGTCAGTCTTGGGGTACAGACAGAAGTCTTGATATTTTTGGAAAGTACCTTCGGTTGATTCATTTGATGTTCCAAAATGAGTTTGTACAGTGATTATATTTGAACCTGTTGTGCTAACTAAAACTTAGCTTTTAAAGAGAAAGAGAAATAATATATAATATAATAAAAAGAAAAATTTGAAGTTCATGTGCATCTTCTCTGATATGCAAACTTTGTGGTTAACTGTATGTGCAAATAGGAGAAGGAAAATGGAGGCTTCTGTGGGCTGACAGAAAGGAGGAGTTTGGTTCCAAGTAATTTATTGCCTTTGGAAAAATGTGAGTAGAGAGATTATATAACTTACTCTAGATAGTAAACGGTTCAAGCAGAATTGCTATGTGACAAGACAGAATCACTCGTCTGTGATTCATTGTGAAAAAGAAGGGAAGTGTTGACTTGCTAAGATGGAAATTGTCCTCATCCAGCCCTTTGTGCTCTTCGCTATATTGCTCCCTACATTTTTCCTCACTGATAATGGATGGTCAGCTGCTCCGCTCTCCCCCCCCCCGCTTTTTTTATGTGCCTCCCAATGTCCATGTACATTTAGTAGTGACCAGCTGGGTTGCACAGAAGAATGAGCTCTGAGCTACCATTTTGATTGGTTTTACGCTTTGCTCAGTTGCCAGTTTAGTCTCTGTAGTTGGTTTTGTTGTTCATAAACGGAAACAACATTTAGATAAAAACAAGTTGGGTGCACATCCAGTTCATAAAGGCAGTTCACTAAAAATTAAGTCATCGACTCATAGAGGAATAAACTTGTCACCTTAGGACACTGAAGGTGATGGAACAGCTAATCCTAGAAATCATTTCCAGGCACACGAAGGATAAGAAAGTCATCAAGAGTAGTCAGTGTGGCTTCACCAAGGGGAAGTCATGCTTGACCAACTTGATAAACTTCATGACAGGCCTGCTAGATGAAAGAAGAGCCATGGATAGTGTCTATGTGGACTTCGTTAAGGCCTTTGACATCGTGCCCAATAAGAGTTTTGTAGCCCCTCAAGCCATTGCTGTAGGGGCTGGGCGAGCAGACAGTGAGGTAGATTGAAAACTGGCTGAGTGGCTGGGCCCTGAGGGTGGTGATCAGTGGTGCAAAGTCTAATTGGAGGCCAGTAGCTAGCATTGTACCTCAGAGGGGTCGTGCTCCGTCCAGTCCTGTTCAACATCTTCATTAATGATATGGATGATGGGGCAGAGTGTACTCTCAGCCAGTTTACTGATGACACAAACCTGGGAGGGGTGGCTGACAGGTCATCCAGATGCTGCCACCCAGAGGAATCTGAACAGGCTGGAGAAATGGGCTGACAGGAACCTTGGGAAGTTCAGCAAGGAGAAGTGCAAAGTCCTGCCCTGGGGAGGAGCAACACCACGCACCAGTATATGCTGCAGGCTACTCAGCTGGAAAACAGCTTGGCAGAAAAGGGCTTGGGAGTCCCAGTAGACACCAAGTTGAACATGAGCCAGTGATGTGCCCTTGTGGCAAGGAAGGCTACTGGTATCCTGGGCTGCACTGGGCAAAGTACTGCCAAAGGGGCTGAGCGAAGTGCTCCTTCCTCTCTGCTCAGCACTGCTGAGGTCGCATCTGGAATGCTGCCTTCAGCTCTGGGCTCCCCAGTAGAAGACTGATATGGAGCTATTGGAGAGTCCAGTGAAAGGCCATGAAGATGATGAAGGGACTGGAGCATCTTTCCTGTCAGGAAACGCTGCGAGAGCTGGGGCTGTTTAGCCTGGAGAAGGCTCAAGAGGAAATCTCGTCCACGTATATAAATACCTGAAGGGGTGGTGCAAAGAGAATGGAGCTAGGCTCTTTTCAGTGGTGCCCAGTGACGGGACAGAAAGCAATGCCCACAAACTGTAACAGGGGAGGTTCCATCTGAACATCCAGAAGCACTTTTTCACTGTGAGGGTGACCAAGCACTGTCACAGGTTGCCCAGGGAGATTGTGTCTCCATTCTTGGAGATATTCAGAAGCTGTCTGGACATGATCCTGGGCAGCTCGCTCTAGGTGAGGGGATGGGGGTTTGGAGCAGATGACCTCCAGAGGTCTCTTCTGACCTCAACCCTTCTACGATTCTGTGATATGTAGTACCACTAGCTGCTTCTGGTTGAGGAGTCCAAGACAGATGTGAAGTCCTTTTGTATTCTACTCTATTTACAAAGGCTTTTTTTGAAAGAAAGCACCTTAGCAAGATGCTTAGGTTGCATCTGGCCCTTCTGTGTAATATGACAATAGGACAAGAGGAAATGCCCTCAGGTTGCGCCAGGGTAGGGTTAAATTGGACATTAGAAAAAATTTCTTTACTGAAGGAGTAGTCAAACATTGGAACAGGCTGCCTGGGGAAGTGGTGGAGTCACCATCTCTGGAAGTGTTCAGAAAACGTGTTGATGTCGCACTTGGAAGCATGGTTTAGTGGATGGTTTAGTGGGCATGGTGGTGTTAGGTCAACGGTTGGGCTTGATGGTCTTAGAGGTCTATTCCAACCCAATAAGTCTATGATTCTATGGTCACATGACCTTAAAGAGGAAGTAGTATTTTCTTTTTAATGGATATGCATTCATCATAAGAAACAAAAGGAGAAGAAAAAGGAGAAAATGGGGTGTTCTGAATAGTGTTGTGGTGGCATCTCTTTATCTATGATCTTTGATATTGGTGGATCAGATCAAGGAGTTAGAACATATTGTACAAGGAATTAAAATTGCTTGAATTTTGTGCTGTTCGGAATAAAGTTAGCCTCCCATTTCATAGAAGTTGTGCCAGCAGGAAACCAACAGGGATTGCCGTCTTCCAGTTGTAATATTCTGTCACATGTGGGAAGGGGCGCACCAGTGACTTCACATGCAACTTAGGAAAAGTCTGCAGTTCTTATTCAGTTAAAAACAATTTGGAGGAAAAAATGTTTGCCTTGCAGCTACTGCTTTTATGTTCCTTGCACACACTGTGGCTCTTGTGATAGAGGAAGCCTTCTGATCCATCCTGGACTGAAAGAACACAGGGTATGGGATCACTGTTGTTCCTGCTCTGGATGTTCATTGTGCTGTGGCCTTATGTTTTGTTTAACTGTTTTTTCAGGACAAAAAGATTGTATTTTTTTGATGTGGTGTTAGTTTACCTTTACTTAGAATGTTGGTGTTTCTTTCTCCCTGCCCACGTACATACGAACTTTCAGTTAAGAGGTACAAAAGCTAAAGATCTCAACCGTTGTCCGAAGTTGTTGCTAAATGAGAATGGGTTTTTTGTTGGTTTTTTTTTTTATTTTGAGATACGCCAAAGGGGTGCTAAACCATAAAGCTTTTTTTTTTTTGTATTTCAACCATTTGCTCTATTGCTGTTGCACTGGGAACACACCTGGTTCTAGCAGATTACTGAGTTACAGAAGAATGTTTTCATGTTAGTCCTAGCAGAAGTCTCCACCAGAAGATGTAACAGTGTTATGAAAGAGACAGCAGGAAGAAGTAGTGGATGTGAAATCTATAGACAGATGACTGGTAAATTCCAAATGGAGAAGTATTAAGGGAAAATAATGGGGGGAAAACAAGCAAGCAAACAAAACCCCAAAGCCCCACTCAGTGCAGGAAAAGGAAAGGCCCATGTGGCATGCTGCAGCCTTGTTGCTGTCGTCTTGCTGTCAGGATGCACCTTTTTTCTCTGAGAAGTCATCTGTGTTGTGGGCTTATCAGAGTGCAGGCTGTCTTGATATAAACAACACGTTCCTCAAGTTTACCCCTGGGAATGGTGTCCTGGGAGTAGTTTCCTGGGAATGTTCTTCATTATTGGCACAGGCCAGTCTGTTAATCCTCATTTTACTATTTCTTCTTGTGTGTTAATATACGTGCATTTCCTTTCATATTGCACTTGTACAAGTCTTATTATGTCTGTCACAATTATGTTACTGTACCGAAATTGTTATTTGTTTTTCTTGTAATTTGGGTATTGAGGCAAATTTCATACTGATCATGCCACCTCTTTGAAATAGAGGAGCAGAAACTGTAGTCCTTTTTTTTCCAAATACTGATTAATCTTGCCATTACAAATTCTTAGAATAGCAGTCTGTCCTGAGAATGAGTTTGATAAAGGAAAAGGTAGTCAGCTAGAGTTTCTGAGATGTCTCTCTGCCTGTGAGAATGCAGAGTGTATACACCTTTAGAGAAAACTGATTTTCTGTAAAGCAGTGATGATGAAATACAAGGAAAGTAAATATGTCTTAAGTTTAATTACTTTATACTGAATATTGCCCTGGCTTGCATTTGGAGTATTTCCGTGTTTATAGTGCAGACAGCCTTTGTCACTAGTAGCATCCTTGAAGCTTTTAGCGATAGTGTTGTAAACATAGAGCAAAGTTTAGTCCTTTGATTATACGATAAGCTTTCTTGCATCTTCCATAGCAGCAGCTTCTAGTGTTAGGGACGATGAAAGAAAGATACTTTGGCATGTATTATGCCCTAGCTCTTTCCTTGCTGGCCTACATGGGATCTTCATTTTCTTAGTAAGGACACGTGAGAAGTGTGCTAATAGTTAACAAAATGCCTCCAGTAAGAAGCATCATACGTTCTTTTGGAGGGAGAATGATCTAGTAATAACTTAAACAAGAGTAAGAAGCTTCTGCACCTGTATTCTGGCCTATGGTCAGCCTTTATTGGTGTGCTCCTGCAGCTGTTGGCACCTGCAGGGCTGTCTCTGTTTAGTCAGCTGTTCTGTCACCCAGTGATCCCCCCACCCCACCATGAGGAGGGAACTTGGGAAAACGAAGGCAGACCTGTGGGTTGAAATGGAAATTGACTTAATAAAATAATAATTTTTAAACTAATATTAATATAAAGTGCACAAAGCCCATGCAGTGGTTGCGGGCTCCCAGCAGTGGGTGCTGGATGGCGGGCACTGCAAGCCCCACAGCTCCAGCGACGGCGTGACAGTCACAATGAACGGGAGAGGAGGCCTCGGGAGCGGAAGGACGGGCAAGGCCCTCCAGGGGTGGCGACCACGGAGAAGGGGCAGCCACATCCCGAGCAAACTTTGCAATTTATGGTGAGCGTGGCATTTATGTTCTGGAATACTTGTGTTGAGCAGCTTTGGAGCAGCTGCCCTGGCTTTTGCTCCTCCTAGCGTTAGCACCTGACTAACTCAAAACTGCTGAAGACCTTGATCACTGTGGAGACCCACATACTAGGCTGGCTGGCCACGAATGAAAACATGGTGTCTCAATACCCAAATTGCGTGCTGCAGTTGTCTCAAAAATGCATCTTTCCTGAATAGAAAATTGATTCTATGATTCCGTCCCAGCAAAACTAGGACACAAGGGGGTTTAAAATGAAAATTAAATTAGGAGCCCATGTATTTATACGAGTTAGGCAAGACACATGTACTGTCCACTTCTGTAGATGCTTTGTGGCTTGAAATGGCGGTTGGTGGAAGACTTCGTCTAGTCAAACAGCCTGACAGTTTGTCTTCAAGTAGTGGCTGGGATTTTACTCATGAACAGGAAACACTACACCACATAAAAGCTTATTCCTACTGTTTTGTGCCAGAATTTTTGTGCAAGGTACAAGCCCCAGTGTTCCCCTTCACTTAACAAACAGAACAGTGATTCACAAGTAAGACTTAAAGTAGCACAGATGTTCTAGTGTCTGTGCCCAGGGTTAAGCTGACAGGTTATGCACTCTTACAGAGTTTTCCCTGAGCTATCAGAGTAATTTCCAGTGGCCAGACAATCCTTTGGTTCTGTTGTGTGACTGCGTGTGCAACCTATTTGATTTACTAATACCCTGAGGAGGAGAAAGAATAAATTCTCAGCTGGGCACCAGGCCAGAAGTTTTTATTTTGCTGCTTTGGAAGTCTCAGTTTATACGTTTTTAATGTATTTCATTTCATCTAGCTGGGCTGCTAACACAATTACTGATCAGAGGGTGTATTTTTTTTTAATTAGCTCTTCTGTGAATACAGATTTCCTGGTTATAAGGTGCTAGCAGGCCAATGTGGACAAGAAAACTGAATGTATTGAGAAGCAATACTTCTTCCTAAGCACCGTCTTCGTTTCTGGTTTTCAATATAGAAAAATAACCGCTTCTGCAAATAGTACTCTCAGACTGCAAGGCAAAAGTCCCTAAAAGTCGTCCAGCAATGCTGTTCTGAGAAATGACTGCTCCAGTGGTCGTTTTCTTTCAGATAGTGACAGAACCCACACCTCCAACACACCTTTCCCCTCAGGGCCATGCACGAATCTGCAGAGCAGTGTTGTGCCTGTCACCTGTTGGGTGTGTTTGGAGGGAGAAAAGCAGAAGTTTACAACCTGAGATTCTCATTAAGTAGGTGTGTGAGTGGACAAACTCCCTCAAAACAGCTTTTATTTAAACGGTGTGGAGGACGTGTGGCTTCCATGTTGCATGAGTTACAGCATTCATTCCCAGTCTGAATCCAAGTATCCTGTTCCTCTTGGTACAGACTCAGGCATCTTTTCCAACTCTCCGATCTTTTAATGTTCAGTGTTAAAAGACAGTCAACACAGGTCGTCCTCTGGAAGAGCTGTGTGTTACTTTGAAAACCTGTTTTTTGTTACGTCTAATTAATGAGTGTTTCTTTGGGCTGGGGGTGGGGGGGCGGGAATATGAGGGTTTTGATGAAAGCCAGGTTTCCCGGAGCATTTACTTGACTGCAGTAAAGCCCATGTCACTTTTGTCTCTAAACTGCACCCTAACAGGGTGGCGTGCATAAGAAAGATACCCAAATTTTATCAGTTTTTGTTCATCTTAGCTCCATTCCCACTACTACGCAATAATCTTTTGTGTTTTCCCTTCTCCTTTGGTGTCTTTTCTCTTCTGATCTTAAAACATAATCGTGATGTTAAAAGACAGTGCTCCAGTCCAAGCACACAGGTTAGCATGCTCCTGTATTGTTCTGTGAAATATCTTTTCCCTTCTGTTTGTGTAGTCAAATTTTCTTTGTCTTAGTGACAGCAAGACTTTGGCTTTTAAGTAGCCTGATATGACTCAGTGGAAGCAATGTAGAGAGAAGTGTTTGCTCAATGCGGTTTCATAGACTGCTGATTTGCCAACGTTGAAAATAACTTTCAGTCCTTCTGGTTTGTTACTTTTCTTGTGAACCCTAGAGTTTAAGAATAAATTTATCTGTTGAAGCAATGAATTCTGTTGGTTTTTCTGTATTTGTGGAGCCAGGCTTTTATGCTTGGATGTTGACATAATGGATTTTGAACATAGCTGTTCCCTATGACTTCTTATCTTTGGTGCTTAGAACTTGATTATTAATCAAAAGTGTCCCATATTGAAAGTCTGTTCCAGAAGTTTTTGACATAACTTGCACTGGGTTTTTTTTTCTTGGCTATATGATGATTGTCATTGTAAGTGATGGCAAGAAGCAAACAAACGTTTTTTGTATCCTTTTGCTGGAAGTGAGTAGATACTTATGTAGTTTCCAGCATTAGCAAAGGTTTAAATGTTGGTGGCATGTACAAATATTTCTATTAAGAATAGTTGATTTCTTATGCGGTTTTTGTTGTTGTTTCTTTTCTTTCTTCCGACAGAAAGCCATTTCATCTCCAACTGTGTCACGCCTTACAGATACATCAAAATTCACAGGTTCTCACAAAGAGAGGTTTGATCCCAGTGGGAAAGGAAAAGGCAAAGCTGGCCGAGAAGATCTGGTGGATTCTTCGGGATATGTATCTGGCTATAAGCATGCAGGCACATACGATCATAAAGTACAAGGAAGCAAGTAAGGCTGAGGATATACAGCACAGAGGGAGAAAGAGAGGGGGAAGGAGGATACATTTCTAAGAATGACGTAGATGAATCCCACATGTTTTGGCTATTGTGAACGCTAAGACTATGTTGTCAAGAAGTTGTTTTCAGGAACTGGAACTGATTTCAACATCTGCTGAGTTACTCGCAGCACAATGCCACTTCATTACATTCCTCACGTGTATATTGGCAAAAATGAATATATCAGTACAAAAAATACATCATTTTGTTGAGCTTTAGTTAAAAAAAACC